AGAGTTGTGCTCTCGCCTCTGCCTGAAAGTCTCTGGATCTGCTAGGTGCCGCGCCCACCCATCGTCGTCATCCCGCCGGAAGTCGCAAATTCAGCCGTTGACGGCTCATTGCACACCAGCGAATCCAGCCGTTGTTGCCGCAAGTCTGAAGATGCGCAAGTTGCTTGGAATGCTCGTCTAAGAGTGGAGCGACATGCATGCTCAGGTGCGAAACCTAGTCACGTGGGGCGTGCTGTGCAGCTGGCATGCTTTTCGTCGCTGTGGGATGGTTCTCAATGCGTTGAAGCACTCACACTCGAGATAGAATGCCTGTCCTGCCATGTTGCTGCCAGTCTCAGAGAGAGTGGCCATGAAAGCCACTGCTGCAATTGCTTTCAGGTTTAGAGGAAGTGCTGAAGATTGCGCTGGGTAGTTGAACCCAATGTGGGGCCTGTCACGGGGTTGCGTGCCAGGATATTGTGGCTTCCATTCTTGCGCGGGATCCTGGCATTCGCATGACCACTTTTTTCCAAAGGTTTCAGGACAACAAAGGCTTGCCGCTTGCGGCTGCGCTGGAAGCACGTGAGCTCATAATATTAACGCTAACGCGCGCCGCCTCGGCCGGCTCGCCTGTATAGCAGCCAGCCTGGAACAAGACAGCTTCAAATTAAGTTGTTCCTTCCTAGTGCCATCATACACTTAGACCAGCTTTTTCAGTATCCCTATCTTAGCATATGATCTCCTCATAGAACCCCTTATAGAACCCTGCATGACCTTCTAGAATACAACAGCCCCATAGAGCCCTGTGCAAGCTCGGTTGAAAGAGACCGACCATAGAAACGTGAGGAGTAGAAGGTGGTTGGAGCAGGGCCTGCACGTCACAAAATCATCGTCGGCCCCACAGGCCGATGCTGTCCAGGCCCGTGCTTGCATGCTTCTGGGCACACCGGTGCGCTGGGAGGGGGGGGAAGGGGGGGTGGACGGAGTCTTGCTCCGACAGGCCAGGGGTCTCATGAAACGATCTACCCTTGAACCAATGCTTGGCGCTGCCCAGGGTTCCGTTCCTCCTGTGGGCGCTCATGGGAGACTGGCTGCTGGCGCTAGGAGGGCAGGAGGCAGAATGAAGCATGGGACTCTTGGTGCTGAGTGGTAATGGGGAAATGGGTCATAGTGACCCCAACTCATCACCAAGTAGAGGTTGCAGGTCCGGAAGTCAGATGTATTGATGTGCTTGTTTGCATTCAGGCCACTCGTAAATTGGCCGAGGGCCTTCTGCAGCGGGCCAAGATCAAGGAATGCTTCTTAGCAGCTTCACATGTGAAGCAGAAGTGTCACCCAATGCTTAGTATGGAGCCCTCTATATGAGCAATGTTCAACAGGGACAAAGAAAAGGAATGCCGTGAGATGTAGGAATCGCGACAAAAGCCCCAAAAGCGAGAGGACCCCCCCCAAAAAGCGATACCCTCAACCTGAGACGAATGCATGACTGTGCCTTGGTTGAACCCCCCAGAAACGATACCCTGCTGTTGTCCTACGCAAAAACCCTCAAAATGGATAGGACCTTCCCAAGAAGTCGTCCATGGCATCGGATTATACAAGGAGTTTCGGCGAACGCTCTTTTAGCCCCCTACTAGCCCAATCCCCCATTCCCTACCAACCACCATAAACCCTAGATCCTATATACTCTGGTAGTTTCCGTTCTCTTTTTCACGTCTCACTCCCCTCTCCCCTTCAGCGCTGGGGAGTCGTCACGCTTCCCTTGTCCTCTCAGGCTTCCCCCAGAGTAGTCCCTACCTAATCCAAAATCCTGCAGTCTCTACAACCTATGACCTATGACCCATTCCTCGATTCCCTACTTGCTAGGCCTGGGGCATTGGCATACGGAGGCGCAGGGAGCTGAGGCTGACGCAATTCGGACAGCCAGTTGCGCCTGTCGGGGCAAAGCCTTTTCAGGAAATGACAGAGACTTGAATGTAAAGTACTACAGGGGATTACAGAGGTTTATACGGGACTGAATACATAGATCAATATGGCTACCGCTCAGTATGA